AAAAAATCAAAAGACTCTTATACCCTTCTCTATACACGTATGCATCTCGCCCGACATTATCCCTTCTTCCTCAAAATAAAATGTGCTCCTCTTTTTGAAATTATGAAATTGAAATCTTGCCTCTTCCTAAAAAATTTCGCATCTTCAAAATTGAGTTCAACGACGAGTGCACGATTGCGGGCATTTTAAAGTGCGGGACGAGGACGACGTTCCGAAATTGTAGTTGTGTGTGCTCGGTTGTGTTCGGAGCGCATTTCAGGGGACGACGAACGCGAATTATAGTGATGACCTTCAATTAGGGTTTCTGAAAATGGATTGCTTCTACAAATTGTCCCAATAAATTAGGGCTTCTTAAAATCGAATTCATATACAAAGCAAACAAACACAAAATCGCAGAGGCTTCACTCATATTTACGAAATTAGTGCATCCAAAAAGAAAGAAATATTTAAAAAAAAATCGTTTCAAATGCTTCATATCCAAAAGGGTGGACAAATCTCATTCGACGAACAATACCATTTCAAAAGCCCAGTTCGGGATCAGAAATAACAAGACCTGTTGAGCTCGAGAGAGATCGTAAGTCGGAGGAAGACGATGAACATGAGCAGTTGAAGGAGAGTTTCACTTTTCTGCACTTAGGGCAAATGGGCCGTTTTCTTTAATATGGTATAAGGTGGTAAATTCAACTACATTAAGGGGCAATTGTGTCTTTTCGCAGACAATTTTGAGGACAAAATGGTCCATTAGAACAATGATAAAAAAATCCGGGGATGAAGCCGAGATTAATTGTATCGGCGTATTAGGGATAAACTGCGGGTCCCGCGCACCACATGGTTGCCACCAAGGTTAAAAATTGTCTCAATCAACTGAGGTAAACAAGGGATATTTTCTTTATCCTATCATAACCTGCAAAGTAAACGACCCATATAATAGTATTAAAAAAAAAAAATAACCAAGGACCCACTTATTAGCTCGACTCAACTTTTTTAATTGAAAATTTCATGCGGAAGTTAATGCTTGAGAATTCGAGCTGGTAAATAATTTTTCGATTTTTTTTACCTAGACTCGATTTTTTTTTTTATTAAGATTTGAGTTCGATTCGTTAGTTTTTCATAAACTTGTTCACTTAACAAGCTAGCACTGTCGGGCACGAGTACGAGCTCGAGTTGTTCTCGACTCAGACGCATTTATGCATCGATTCAGACTAATTTGCACTTGAGTGCAACACAAAAGAATTTTCTCATAAATAATTTTCTTTAAAAAAAAAATAAATCACAATCACATTAAAATCATACATTATGGCCACTTCGAATAATTATGTAATTTCGCATCATAATTATCTTTTCATTTAACGGATTTAATTTCACTAATTTGCCACCCCACCCCACCCCACCCCACCCCACCCCACAAATTCAATACATTATAAATATATCCACTCAACTCATTTCTTTTTACTCCTCTCATATATATTTTTTCCTATTATTATTCTCAATTTTCTTTCTCTCTCTAATTTTTTTTAATATATTATTATATGGCCGCTGATGTGAGTTTCTTGGTGAGAGTGATGAACGGTGGAGATTTGAATGAATCGGCTGCGCCGGTGAAATCGACGGCTCCGATCACTCGGGACCTGCTCGGCGGGTGTTGTACCCTTGACTCCAAGGAGTTGGACCTCGATTTGCAGGTCCCTTGTGGATGGGAAAAACGCCTCGACCTCAAGGTACAACTCTCTTCTTTTGCCCCCTTTCTTTATATTTATATTATTATATATATATTTTTTTTATTTGGAAAAAGAAAATGTCAATTTTGTAGTCTTTTGTGATAGAATTTATAACTGTTTTAGCCTCAATTTATTATTTTTGTAATTTTCGAAATTTCAATTTATTTTTCTAAATTTTCCCCAAATTATGGGGCATTCGTGAGCCAGATTATAAATTTATTTTACAATTATTGAGGTTTTAATTAATGTTATTTGTATTTATTTAGGAAGCCCTTTGTCTGTTACAGCAATCAATTTTGAGTTGTCTGATTAATGATCCTCTGTTTCTATGTGGCTCATGTTAGAAACATAACAATAACCCTTATTATTATTTAATAATTACAAAATCAATGCATTTAATTTTAAAATCAGGTTTGACTTGATATTATAAAACAATATGATTTGTGAGTTTATTATGTAAAACATTATGTAATCATGTAGCAAATGCAATATACATTTATTGATTTCACAAATGAAAAATGATCCAATTTTGATTGTTATTATTATGATCACTGAAAAAATAAAGCTATTTCCAGTCAGGAAAGGTATATATCCAGAGGTGCAAATCGTCCCCCTCGTCCTCCTCGACCTCCGAACCAAAACCGGACCTCAATTTCCCGCCTAAATCGTCAAAACCGACGACCCTAACCCTATTCGACGACGCCAGCCTGGACATGGAGCTCGTGGCCCCACTCCACGCCGTGTCATCACCCTCCAACTACCAAAGCGTGTGCACGCTCGATAAAGTGAAGTCCGCGCTCGAGAGGGCCGAGAAGGAGATTGTAATTAGGAAGCGCTCGATTTCTATATCAAGGTCACAGTCAAAGTCGTCATCACCGACTCAGTCGACCTCGTCGTCATCTGTCGATCTCGATCGCGAGGAAAAATCTACGGCCTCGATTGCGGCGGGTTGCCCTGGTTGCTTGCTTTATGTACTGATCTCGAGGAGTAACCCTAAGTGCCCGAGATGCAACAACGAGGTGCCCTTGCCGGGCTCGGTTAAGAAGCCGAGGATCGATCTTAATATGTCGATTTGAGGAAGGTTAAATTTAATTTAGGTGGTTCTTAAATTTTCTGAGGTTTTGTAAAGAGAAGAAAAAAAATGGAACAGGGGTTATAAAAGTTAAGGGGAATTAATGGTATATATTATGATCTTTTGAGTATTGAAACATTTGATCTATTTTTTGTCTCATTTTGAAATTTGTTGTAGTGATGTTTAGTTTATCTAACTAGCTCGATTAATGAACTCTTAAGTAGGAATATATTTTGGCAATTTGCCTAACTATTAGATCGTCTCAACTAGCTATTTTGTGATGTTAATCTGACTTGGCTCAGTTCGAACTCCCCGAGTTCGGCCCAAACAAGCCAAGCTCGAGTTTATTTAAAGCTTGTCTGAGCTCGACTCGATAAGGTTCGAAAAGAGAATGGTTATATAATCTTCTATAGTTTCGGCTCATGAAAGCTCGAGATTGACTTGTTAAAGTTTGAACTCGGCTCGTTATTAGTGATAAAACGAGCCTAGCTCGAGGTCAGTTCAGGCTCGTTTATTTATCGAATCGAGGTTGAGTCTACTCGTTAAGGGCTTGAGCTCAGTTCAGCTCGTTTACAGCCCTAAATGTTACAAACCAAACAAATGAAAGGTTGTCAATCAATGAATGTGATATAGCCATACTATCGTGCCACGGCTCAGTAACCACGGCATGGTCACAATCGGCTCATAGCGGTTCATATCATCATGGTTCGGAACTGCCCAAGTCGACTATAACACAGTCGACTCCGCCGGTAGGGTTTCATGATATTCGATCAAGAAGCCCGGCTCTCGACCGAGTCGACATATATCCGTCGACTGGAACGAGTCGATAT